ACTTCCTGATCTATGAATGTGTGCTTGTCAGAAATGTGTGAATGACGTGTGTGATGAGACAACCTCTAACTCCTGCTGGTGTGACGGATTTCTCCCACATTTCATTTAAAAGTTTAGTTTCACTGTTTTAAAGATTTGTTTAGAAGAAAACAAACGAGTATGAATCAGATTTAGAGCTTTTAGAGAAATCCCTACACGGCAACAATTCAGGTTTCCGTGCAGCATTGAAACATTCCCTTTGGGAAACTGGTATGAGCTGATAGATGCTCCTCTCTTTTCACGTGTCTGAGCAGAACCTCCCTGAACCATCTACACGTGGTTCAGAACGCCTGTACTCGGCTTCTGACCAAGTCCTCCAAACACACCCACAAATACCCGGCCTGCCAGACGGGCTCCATCTCCAGCGGCGACCTGCACGCTAAGTGTGAGGTCTGTCTCGGGGCTCATCACGCTGGCCTGGCCTTGACCCCCCAGGCCTCGTGCCCGTTTTGTGCCGCTCTGCCCATGGCTGAAAAGGTCCGCCGGGTCGAGTTCTTCACCCCCACCACCGACGAGGAGATTCCGATGGCTGGCACGTACTCGTTGGACAAGGCCTTTCAGTTCTTCGTCGTCGGTCAGGAGCCGGCTGGCTCCTCCCGACTGGACGATGTCATCGACAGTGAGGAGTACGACGAGGCTGGCTGCCATAGCCCTTTTTCCCTCCTGTACAACACGGAGGTCGACGAACCTCGCTCAGCGGGTCCTTCTGCCCCAGTGGCTTCTAGCTCCTCCCTGCCAGCAGTTAGAGCACTGCTCCAGGAGCTGCCCGCCATCATCTCCGCGGCCGCGGTCCGCAAGGGGCTAGCCGTTCCAGAACCGGCTCCGCCTGAGGCAGATGGTTGGCAGGAATTTTCGGGGCAACACAGACGTGCTGTCCAGACCCCGTCTGGCCACGTTTCCCCGCTGCCATGAGCTGCTGGGCCGCTGCCTTCTCCGAGCCTGCTGGGCTTAAGGCGCCAAATTCCACATATGCATCCATTACCAAGGTCGAGGGCTTCTCCGATCTGGGCTGGCCATCCGTTCCTCCACTGGAGTCGGACTTGGCCTCGCTGTGTAGCATCAAGACCCACCTCGCTGGCCCGCGAGCAGTTCCCGCTTCTAAGTATGACCAGCTGCTGACGCGGCTGACCGATCATGCACACCAGTGCGCCTTGCAGACCGGCGCTGCAGGAAATAACATCGCCCTTCTTGCCTTTGGCGTTTCCAAAATGGTGGAAGAGCTTGATATTCCTGACGAGTCAAAAACCATCATTACCAAAACTGCTGGTGCCATTCTCAATCTGTGTGCTGCTGTACTCACCGGTTCTGCTCGCATTGCTGCCTGGCAGACCTTTATCCAGCGGGCCTTGTGGCTCAAGGCCCTGCCCTCCATTCCTGATCACCTGCACATGGAGATGCTGGAAAGCCCCATCACCTCTGACGTTCTGTTTGGTCCCCATCTTATGAGCGTCATTGAGGGGACTCAGAAGGCGGCTGAACTGTCAGCCACATTGAGAGACCTGGTCCACCCTCGGTAAGCCTCGCACTCCGGCCGTTCCTCCAGAGGATGGGATGAACAGCGCGGAAACTTCAGGCGCCCAGCTGCACCGCCCGCCCCGCGGAGCCAGCCTCCCGCGGAGCCGGCCTCCCGCTTCGGCTCCACCTCAGTGGGACCAGGGAGTTGGCGGCCAACGGTCCCGAAAGAGCCAGCAGACGCCGTCTTGGCAGTCACAGGCACAGGAACCTCGCCGAAAACAACCACGAAAACGACTCGTTGGGAGGAATGTGTGTGCTTATGACTGTGAATGATTGTGGTTTTGAAATAAAACCCAAAAAACGTCACATCGAGAGCACAATCCTACAGTCCTCTGCAGAATCCTCTGCCGAATCCTCACACATGTTCCCCACACCAAGCACTGCGACACATGTGCATGTTCCCGCAGTCCGCCATATCACACAGCCAGCTGTAAGGGTGCGCTCCGTTTGCGCACCGGCACCAGCCTCTGGCCAGGCACAACTCATCCCGCTTTCCCCACAACGTTGGGTGGGACGGGATGTCATGGCGCTGTCGCGGCCACGCACGGCGACACAGTGCACGGCTCCATCCGCTGGCACTTTGTCGTCCCCGTGCATGGGCCCGGCTCCCACTCGTCCTTCATCCTTGGGCTCCACGCTCCGCGGTGCAGATCAGCCTCTTCCAGCTGTTCACACTCGCCCTTTCGAGCATGGGTCGCTCCCAGTTCTCTGGTGCGAGTGACGGCGGTAAGGGCGTGAACCCAGTCCTCAGATGTCGTTCACGTGACCTTGAACACGCGTCCGCTGTCAGAACACGCGCAAGAATGGCGCCGCCTTTGCCTCATGAGCAAATGGATATCAGACACCATTCATTACGGTCACACACTCCATTTTCAGTCCGCTCCTCCTCCCTTCAACGGGATCGTGGAGACGACGTTCACGTCACAGGTACAATCTCCGGCCCTGGAGCTGGAGCTGCAGGAACTTCTGTCCAAGGACGCAATTTCCCAAGTCCCTCGCGGACGAGAGCTCTCAGGCTTCTACTCCCGCTACTTCGTAGTACCAAAGAAGTCGGGAGGAATGAGACCAATTCTCGACCTTTCCCTGTTCAACTGCTCCATAGCAGTGATTCATTTCCGCATGTTAACAATGAGGCAAGTCCTGGAATACGTGCACTCCGGGGACTGGTTCACGTCAATAGACCTGAAAGACGCATACTTCCACATCCCAGTAATTCCCAAGCACCGGAAGTTCCTGCGCTTCTCATTCAAGGGAGTTCAATACCAGTTCAATCGTCTCCCTTTCGGCTTCTCGCTAGCCCCGCGCACCTTCTCCAAATGTCTGGAGACCGCGCTGCAGCCACTGCGCATGGCGGGAATGAGGGTTTTATTTTACCTGGACGATCTGCTCCTATGCGCCCGGTCCTAGGATGAGGCGTCAGAGCAAACCAGGAAGTTAATAGAGCATCTGTCAACCCTGGGGTTTTCCATAAACTGGGAGAAGAGCTCCATCCTTCCATCCCAGTCGATTGTGTTTCTCGGGGTGGAGCTGAATGCCTCCCTAATGAGAGCACGTTTGTCTCCGGAGAGAGCGGCAGATCTCGCCTCGGTGATCTCCCGCGTGCAACCCCGCAAGATCGTGAGAGCCCTGTTAGTCATGAAACTTCTGGGCATGATGGCTGCAGCCCACGCTGTGGTGCCGCTAGGTTTACTGCACACGAGGCGCCAGCAGCATTGGTTCATCCGCCTCCGGGTACACCCGATACGTCAGAAGAGACGTGTGTTGAGGGTTCCCCCTTCAGTGGGCGGGGACCTCGCTTACTGGGGGAATCCCTGCACCCTCTCACACGGGGTCCCCATCGGACGTCCTACGTCATACGTATCTGTGTTTACGGATGCGTCACTGTTGGGATGGGGGGGCACATGCTTGTCCCATACTGTGGCAGATCGCTGGCCCTCCCAAACGCACGAGCACATAAATGTGTTGGAGCTTATGACAGTGAGGAATGTGATCGGACACTTCGCTGCCCTTCTCGAGGGCCGTCATGTCGAAGTTCACACAGACAACCAGGTGGCGGCAGCCTACATAAATCGCCAAGGGGGAGTTCGATCCCTCCCACTATTGCGCGTAGCCACAGATTTACTGTGTTGGGCACATGTCCACCTGCTGTCCATCAAAGCCACCTACATTCTGGGGGTCCTGAATGTAGCAGCGGGCATCCTGTCGAGAGGGGGACCCCGCGACTCCGACTGGCATCTGCATCCCGCACTGATATCACAGATCTGGATGAGGTTCGGGGAACCCTCTGTGGATCTGTTTGCGGCTCGCGAAAACGCTCAGTGTCTAGACTGCATGAGATATGGTCTCAAGGTCTCATGCATTCCTTCTAACCTGCTTATTTTCAGCTCAACAGAAGAATGAAGAATGAACTCTTTTCTTTTAATTAATCAAAGAACTCTATTTTAATAAAGCTAATCCAACCAAGTGTTAGTCAATAAATAAGATGTGACTGATCTGTGAAATCAAAATATTAATTACTTTATTATGATCCTATAGAATATAAAGGTACTATGACTTTAAATGTTCCAACAGGACTCATTTCATGTAGCGTTAAAAGACATGACACATTACTTTCACTGATCCATTCAGAATCTGACAGATCTGACGAAGGAGTGGTTTTGATGGTGTTTGGTAAAACCTGTCAACTTTTCATTTGACCATAAACCATAACATCCGAAGTATAAAACTATCCCCACGTCATCTCTAACGCTAGTTCAAAGCGTTCCAGAGAAGTTGTCGGACTGGCCAATCCGTATCTTTCCTCTTCAGTCAAAAGAACCAACGACAAGCTGAAAAATTTGTCGCTGTTCCAACTGCTGCAATGGTTCCTTTCAGAATAAAAGCGGAACCATCAAGACCCAGGCTCGGGTCTCACCAGAGGCAAATAAAATTGTCGTGACCCGGAAGTATCTCAAGACGGGTGGTCGGCTGCCGTGGCTGTTTCTACCGGCTCCTGCTCCATAAGGTCAAGCTGGACCTTTACACCTCCTGATCTAGACGGGGACTTCCGCTCAGGGTATGTAGACAGACGAAAATGGCGTTGAATGTGTTTACGAATCTGCTAACCAAAGCTTAACGCGAAGACATCACCTTCAGTTCCCATCGGAACTAATCGCAGCTTCGGATTTGCTGGTTCTGAAAACATCACACGTAATCCATTCACCGTCTCATCCACTTTAGTTACACCATACATTTAGTGCTTAAAGTCAGTCTAGTTTAATTTGTTAGTAATAAAATTCTTAACTTTTAAACTTGACTCTCTCTCGTCTGTTGTCTCTGAGTGAATATGAATCTGTTATCTAATCCCTGCAATAAAAAGTTCCAATCTTCTGGTTTAAATAACCTCACAGATCTGTAAGGTGGATTTCTTATTTCCTACGCCTTATGGCTTATTAAATAGCATGTAATTGAAATCATTACAAACTGTTTACCTCCGACAAGCTGGTGTGGACCCCAATTAGATAAGGCATGGGGGCACTGGAACCACAGGAAAAGCAATTTCAGCAAGATGAGTTCAGGTTAGTTCACTGGTATGAAATGGTCAAGTCTGTAATGTATGCATGGATGGATGGATGAATGTTGGATACATGTTGGATGAATAGATGGATGGATGAATGTTGGATGAATAGATGGATGGATGGATGGATGGATGAATGTTGGATGGATGGATTAATGTTGTATGGATGAATGTTGGATGGATGGATGAATTGATTGGTGTTGGCTGGATGAACAGATGAACGAATGGACGGACGGATGGACGGACGGACGGACGGATGGATGGATGGATGGTGTTGAGTGATGCAGCAATGGATTGATTAATTCTCACCAGCAGTAATCCAGTAGGTGCGGTGGCAGTACTGGTATGAAGATGTGCTGCCAGTACATTGGATACAACACAGCACTGAGTGCATGTACACGAGACGTGAGCTACACAAACAAATGAACAATTAGCTTTACGACAAATAATATACACAGGCCTGCTTTTATTTTATATTTGTGGTTGATAGACTGCATGTCAGTTTCACAGCTGAATTCTGTGAAAATATGATGAGCTAATAGGCATAAAGTGGGTTAGAGGAGCATTTGTGTTAAGTATAACACCTAGCTGAGGTCAGCCTTATAAATAACATGTCTGCACCCAGACATGAATACAACACTACAAAATTAGAGACCTAGAGTTTTTCACCCACAGTGCTCAGTTTGCTTGCAAAGATGAGGATGCGTCTCTCAAACAGCACGCTGGCATAGAGCTGAAGAAGGTTTCCAACATCAACAGCAACAATCAGCTTGGTCAAGTTCCTCTGGTAAAGACAAAAAGTTAGCATTGATGCTCAAGGTGAAAATAACCTGTCGTGCAAACGGACACACTCATATTTTCAGGGATGAACGGGAGATTTCTGGGATCTGGAGCAATGAAATATGGAATCTGTCCAAACGAATTAAAGCAAATGTTGGAAGGTGGGTAGAAATTAAGGGACGTTATTATTTCAGCAACATGGGTGCAATAGAATACGCATTTGTGTGCACTGAAGGCTGTAGAATAAAAATGAAAGATTTCATTCCAAGATTTCTTTTTTTTTTTTTTTTTTTTGCTATCAAATGCAAAAGATTGCTGCTTGTTTTATGGAATTACAACCTGATTACCAGTTTAGACGTTAAATCTGGCATCAATCACCAGGATCTCAAGTTTGTGTGTTTAAACTTGAAATACACATTTATAATTATAGAACTGTGTCTGACTTTCATCAATTTCTTGAATTTTGGAATGAAACTCAGATACAAAACTGTGAACAATAAAAAAAAGCTGTAGTTGGGAGAAACAGGAAGTTATTACATAAAACATTTTTAGAATAACATCATTTCTGGTGTTCAGGCAGACTGATGTAACATGGACTAAAAGGACAGCTAGCCAGTGCAAATCATGTTAAGGTTAAAGTTTGCTCCTTTGGAGGGTTGAGTTTTTAGTCCACATATGAACGCCACCAAGCAGAGACAGCCAAGGTTTTCCAGCAGGAGTTAGTGCTTTGAGTATCTGCTTCTGGACCATGTGGACTCTTGTGGGACTCACCCCCTCTGATCCCTGTGTGTGTCCAACAGGGTGGGACACCTCTGTGCTGACCAAAAGCTGCTCTCCCTCAGAAAAAAAACAACATGCAAACCACCGACAACATCAAGTGTGACTCCTGGTTCTGAAAGATTTACCATCTGCAGAGTGACAGATCCATCAGCCAATGGGATGAACTGCTTGTGGAGAGCAGCCAGCAGCGCTTTTATCTCGTTAACCAGTCGGAGAGGCGACACGTTCAAGTTGTGGCCTTCAAATAAGTGTGTGTGGATTATACAGATTGCACACTAGCAGCTCACCTGCACTTTTGCGAGGTAATCAGCCAAGTTGTTGAGAAGTTTGTAAAACACCTCAAACCATGGAAGATAGCTGTAATCAAATAGTAGTTAGTTGTGAAATAAGGTGAAAACACAACATATTAAAGGTGCATTATGTAGGAAATAAGTAAGAATGACATCTTGTGGTCAAATTTGGGCATTGCAGCCCTTTTTGTAAACACATGCATGACTTCCTCACTTGTGTTCTGTGAATTTCATGGCTGCAGCTACAGACTGATGATTCTAGATGACGAGCAATACACAGCATGCTAATAGTTACATTTCACTGTAATATCAAGATGTTGACTATAAACATCATTTCTTGATTTATTTTGTTACATCCATAATGTTCTGTGTGTGAGGTTTACAATGTCAGAACACCTGCATGAGACAGGGTGTTAATTACAATCTGCCAGAATGACTCGCCACCTTCAGATTTCTCCAACACCGATACAATGATCAAATACGGAACATATTGGCGTGGGCAGGCCAGAGTGCTGAAGCTCGGCGCATTGTTATTATGAAGCTAGGGCACATGTGGAGGACACACACACACACGCACGCGCAAAAATATACTTGTTTTCAATTACATTTATTGGGCCTACTTACTTTTCCTAAGGCCCACCCGCAAATGAGTTTCCGGCTACGCCAGGGGTGACATATGACAGACTTCTCTGATCTCCGCAGCCATTACACTTTTCACCTCGCGCACCCCTTAGCAGCAGCTCGCGCACCCCAGGGGTGCGTGCACCACACTTAGGGAATCCCTGCATGAACTGACCTGTATTGGAATGTTTACTATGTGAAGTGCCTTGAGAAGTCTGGTCGTAATTTGGCGCTATTTAAATAAATTTGAATAGAATTGAACTGAAAACTAAAATCAACATTGGGAGTTATTTACCATCATTACTGCCCAGGAAACGGTGAAACCATGTTACCAGTCTAGCTGAAGCTGTTTGCGCTGTCGGCTGGTCCTGTTGGCGAGCTGCTTGTAGCTTCTACTATAGAGTAATGACTCTGTCTGTATTCACCCAGACCTCTGACTTCCACGTTTGGGTTTACCAACATGCTACAGCCTTTCCTCGATGCCTCTTCTCAGGATCTTTCTTGTTGGTCGCATTATTTACTAGGAACTCTAATTACTCAGGTGATCTGTGTCTCATGCTGAAATTTGTTCTGATCTGAAACAGTAGAAATATATTTAAAAGGATTTTCCCAGCACCGTCGATGCTCTTTGGTTTCTTCAGCATCTCAGTTGGTCTACAGGGTCCTCATCTTCTTTAGTTTATCTCCTCACTGGGAGGAAAATACTTCCACCTCGCTCATAGTTTGTAGATATGTGAATGTGGCTTTGTGTTGGTTTTCGAACAAAATGCAGATCAGCACTGTGATTTACTTTGAGGATTTTAGCAGGAACCATGACTTAGTGTGAAGTAAATTCACACAGACACTAAGCAGCTTTATGAATCCGGCGCAATTAATCCAGCCACAAGCAAACAGTTCCACACTGGAGGCACAAAGGATCCTTTCTGGTCTATTGACAGCTGATTGACTGGGAGCACATGCTACTGCAAAACTCCAGAAAAAAGGAGGAACTTCATCTGTCAAAACATGACAGCAGTGATAATGTACGGTCTGGGTGGGAGGAAAAGATTAGTGTTAAATATCCAAGGTCGTCTTTAATCCTAGTCTAAATGTAAAGAAAGCATCGCATGCATCATCATCCTCTCGGTCTAGTGTGGAGATAAATGCCCAGTCTTTCCTCCCACATCTAAATGATAGCTCACATATCAGAAGAGACAGCTGTAAGTGAGTGAGAAAACCTTCAGGCCCACTCAGTGTTAACCAAATCTCAGAGGACCTCCATCTTATTTATCAAGCACTGGGCATGACCAGAGAAGAAGGCAGGAAAGACTGGAGCGGCGCAGTAGGCAGCTTAAAGCTCCAGTCCAGCTGCAGGCTCGATGACGGTCAGGTGTGTTTATGATCAGCGTTCGGTGTTCTAGTGGTGGTTTTTTGAGGTATAAACGTTCGGGCAGCTCACCTTGGTAAATTAGTGCAGGGCTGAAAAAGTTGCAATTGATTGCATCTGAAGAAAAATACATTTAGTCGACTAAAATAAAAACTAATTGCACGACCAAACTGTGACTGAAATCAGTCTGAATCAGGCAGCCAAGGACAGCTCAAACACAGGAACACTAATGTTTGCGCTACTATCGTCACAGCGAGTCATTCGAAAGGAGCGCTCTCCACAGAACCTTCAAGCACAGGAGATCTCATGTTTCTAACAAGGCATAAATCAGATGATTTCCTTTGCTAGCAGAGGTTAGATATTTGCAAGGCCAAATGCCAATGGCTGCCATTTCCAAAAGAGTTTAAGGCATTGCATTCATCAAAGATCAGTTTCTGCAGGATTAAGATTTCTGTAGGACAGGATTTCATCTGGTCTGTTTTTTGCAGATGGTGTGGTCCTTTGGACAGTTGCCAAAGAACCAAATTCTAACCAGAGGAATCAGGATCACTCCTACACTTAAAATGGGAAGACTTACCTGTCAGCAGCTGTCTGCCAAAAGATCAGATACAAGCAATCTAAATGAGTTTTCTCCACCAGGTGGCTGGGCTCTCCCTCAGAGATAAGGTAAGAAGCGGAGTCATCCAGTTGAGGTGGCTTGGGCGTCTGACACCTCCCTGGTGAGGTTTTCTGGGCACGTCCAACCAGGAGGAGACCTAAAGGAAGACCCAGGACACGCTGGAGGGACTAGGTCTCTCGATTTGTCCCCGGAGGAGCTGGCCCAAGTGGCTGAGGAGAGGGAAGTCTGGGCCTCTCTGCTTAGTCTGCTGCCCCCACGACCCGACTCCAGATAAGTGGAGGAAAATGGATGGATGGGTGGATGGATGGGTGAGTGTGAGTAGAAATAGGGACCAGGTGTCCCTGTGGTTCAGAGATTCGCTTTCTTCTCTTTCTGGAAAGAATAAAGCAGTTTCCCTAAACTCTGGATTAATTTAAGCTTTTTCATATAACCTGCTTCCTAGAACACCTGCCTGTGACCCAGGATTTCTCCTACATTTAAAATGGGAAGACTTAGCAGTGAGCAGCCATCTGCTTTGGAAATTGGTCCATTTGGACAAGTTGTCATTCATTTGTGTGGATGGTCCAACTAGCAGAATTCTAGTCATCTTCTCCTAAGCTTTGCCACAGCTAATGCAACACCATCATCACTTTTGCATTATGATAACAGATATTAAACGTCAGAGGGCACCACCTAGAGGCAGAAAACAAGTAGAGCACCCTTAAGCCCCTCTCCTTGCTTCTGTGCCTCTCATTTGTGAGCATGTACCTCTACAACTGCACATATCATCTACATGTATTTTCAGTTAGAACTGTTGTAAACTGGAAATTGCAGCTCTGTCTACTTTCATAAATGTGCGCACACACGCTCTGTGACTGACGTCTACACGTAGACGGATGTTGAACGCTATTGGCTAATGCTGAATGGTGTTTAGTTGATATTGCATGGGGCTCTATGGTACAGGGGCTTGCATAGCAAAGAAAATTGACATACAGTCCAAATGTTAACAAAGGTTCAGATTATCCCTCCTACAGATTTCTAAAAAGAGAACACGATTCCTGAAAAGAGGAAAACTCTAGATTTAAGAAACGACTGCTTATCCCGACCTAATGGACAGAAGTGCTACATTTTACAGCTGATGATCGTGCATATACTCATAATGTCAACTTTATTTCTCCAAACTGGCTGCTCAGGAAGCAACTTACACCAAGCAAGATGAACTATTCCATTTATTCACAAAACCTTAAAATCCACAACGCCACACAGGCTAAGGTGATGCCTGCACCCACCCTGATCTGTCTTCAACGCTGCACCTGCAGGCTGCACACAGCCACACCAACGAAGAGGCAGAAAAGCGTACGCAGGACGCTCCAAGTAGCCAATCATCTGGTTGCACTGGCACAGCAGCATTTGTTTGCACACAGGATGGGCGCTTTGTTTCTCCTATTAGCAGGAGTCGTGACATCCAGTAACAAGCAGCTCCACGCTGTCTTTTCACCGGTCAATTACAGGAACAGACACAAAAGTATACTAATTACCAAGCCTGCAATTACTAGTCTTTTTCCCTAGAGCGCATCTTAACCCGTTTGGTTTTTTAGTAGACTCCACAACAAATCTTGGTTCTAGGAATCTCCCAATAACTATTCAATAGTTGGTTTAGTGTTTGCTAGAGTCTGCAGATGTGTTCTGTTTTCTGGAGCTCAGTTATCCGCATCTAATGTATACATCACTCCCACAGCATGTCCTCAGTGAAGTAAATAAACTCTTATCAACTCTGAGAAGTATTTGGTGTAGGGACAGGCAGCAGCAGCTCTCCTGCTTACTATGTCAACAGGTAGCTTGTTTTTACTAAAAGAGGCGACAAGGCCGGAGTATTGTGTTGGATTACAAGTAAGAGATGGACAGAAAGACAAGCGAAGAGACAGAGGCGCTGTAATGAGAGGGTGGGATGTGCTGTGGGTGGTTCGAGCTGAATTTATTTGACATGCAGCGGGCGGACGACGGCAGAGGCACAGAGGACACTCTGGTGTCATCTCCCTCACATGAGCGATGACTGTGGCAGGCGAGGAATGAAAGCAAGGAGAAGGTGGAAATGGGGAGGTGGTGTGGCGCATGGCCTGTTACCATGACAACAAGCTCCATGCCAACCTGCAGAATATAAATTAATGCCAGTTTTTCTTGGGACTGGCTTGAATCAACTTCCTCCTCCTGTTACTGTGTCTCTGGTTTTCCACTTCATCATGCCTCACTTTTTGCACCATGATCTGAGGTGAACTTATCCAGACTCGGAATAGCAACGACACATTCACATCTGCTGTTTGCTTGACACCGACAGCCAGATAATGCTTAGTCATACAGCTCATTTATGCCGTAACTTATGCTCATAGACAGATAGAAGGAACTTGTTTCTGTGCGGTAATGTGCTGCGGACACATTTTCCATTGCGTAGTGCACCTTGATGCGTCGGTGACCGAGATTTTTGATGGTGAAAATTTGATGCTGCTGTTCAGGAGATGAAAGACTGCTCCAGTCGGTGATGAACAGGGCCAGGAGGGAGGAAGGCAGACCGTTAAACTAGCTGGAACACAACCTTAAATCCTTCACTGTTGTTTTTAGTTTGGGTGAAAAGCTAACAGTAAATCAGGAGACGTGTACAGACTGTCATGGTTTTAGGAATAAATTTGACCCACATACATGAGAAACTCAGGAGACAGTGGAATTACAAAATGTTTTTTTGCCAGGAACTAAAAGGCAGGTCAGTAATAGGCTGGGTTCTGGATCTGGAGGTTAAACCACTGAAAAGAAGAATACAGGAGGTTATGAGTGGAACGAGGAGGAATATAGAACAGTTGGAGACGTCTTACTGGGAGGAGAATGAAGGTAGTTGCTGGAGAGGTGAGCAGGGCCAGGGCATTAGACTGGTGAGTAGGATTGATAAGGAGCAGGGACTGGAGCAGCTCAGAGGTGAGTAACCGATCATCTGGCTGCACGGTGACGCAGTGGTTAGCGCTGTTGCCTCGCAGCACGAAGGTTGCAGGTTCGAAAACTCGGCTGCGGCCTTTCTGCATGGAGTTGCGTGTTCTCCCCATGCATGCGTGGGTTTCCTCCGGGTACTCCGGTTTCCCCCACAGATCACAACACGTCCTATAGGTTATAAATTGTAAGTCGCTTTGGATAAAAGCGTCTGCTAAATAAATAAACATAAACATAACCGGTACCAGGAGAATGATGATAACAAAAGCTGAGATGGCTTACGGTGTAACGTCGGAGGGTGAACAGGAGACGCATGGGAGGATGTCAGAACGGGAGGAGGTCATAAAGCGAGGGAGTTAAGCAACCGTGGTTCTGGAGGAGGGGAAGAAC